CTTGTTGGAGCGCGTGGTGCCCATCGTCGAAATCGATGGGGGAACTGTCGTCGTGTGTGTGTGTGTGCCTGTGCCCGCCGATGAGTATTGTGTCCAGGGCGTGGGTCTTCGGTCACCTGCAGTCAATCAATGAACTGATGCAGTTTGATTGGCTACGTTTCACAAGACGGGCTGGGTGCCGGAACGGATTAAACTCGTTAACCTAGGTTCCACTGTGTACGTATTCGCATTCACGGCTTAAACAGTCAAACGGTGAGCCGGAGTCTGCGTGTACACTTACGTGCAATAGCACAGCGACAGCATAATTAGAACAGTAAGCCAATAAGGCGATTTAACCCATTTATCTCCTTGAGCATCCTCTAAGAACGTAGGCTTTGATGCCAGCAGGCGGCGTCTTGCGGTCAGGCAAAAGGCCGAAAACTACATTTCAGGTATACCAAGAAGGGAATGTGAGACAGTGTGGATCAGTGCGAAAGGATAGGGATTCCGCGTGGTCCAGTTGCTATCTGCGATTCTTGCAGCTATAGCAAATATCTGCCTACATCTCAAATTGACGCGAATAATTACGACGAATAAATGACTAAGACTCTACAGCCAAAACGTGCCAGCAAAAGAAGAAAGTCTGGAGGTATCTGATAGAACACTCTCGTCTAAGAAAGGTCCAACGGTTACGCAAACAACAGCCGAAATAGATTTTGGCCATGAGCGATGGCCTATAGGTGAAAAATAAAATTCCCACGCTAACAACATATCACTGATGGCAAGTGCTCCCTTCCATTGAATAAACCACAGGGCAAAGAAAGTCCGTGAAACGATTCAAATTAAGAGGACAGAGATTTGGTGAAAGCGTAGTCGGTAGTAGCAGGACATACCATTTGGAACTCAACATCGAAGGTCTGACCACGCTTGAAAAGGGCAGCAATAGTCCTGTGAAAAAACTGAAAATTCCACTCTTCTTCCTTTGCGCCGCAGTGGACAATTGCTCGAACATCGTCATGTGAGTGTGGGATAAACAGAAGGGCAAAGTATTCGGTAAGAATGTGAGCAAACACGTGAGAAATCCCGTTGGCGTGCCGAACAGCATGCGACTGAGGGCTTGACAAATGAAGAAGCATAAGGGTTGCCATGTGCGCGGCTACTTCGGCGATTGACTCCGCTGAGGACAATACTTTTGTAAACCGCTAGGAAAGAGAGTGAGTGAAAAATCACCCTTTACCTGAATGTACTTTACAGTCTCAGTGAAGCCGTCGTTTAGGAGAATGCGGATGGCCACTTGCCAGGCAGAAGCCGACTCATCGTTTGGAGGTAAGTTAGACGGTTGATCGATAAGTACGAAGGCCTCGAAGGTTAATCTATGATTTCTGCAGGCAAGGAGAGTAAAACAAGAGTCAGATGGATGCATGCCATAGACAGCGGGCTGTTTTACGTTGGTTAAGGCGCAGCAAATTACTAACCTGTAGTAGTCGTCAAAGTCTTGAAATCCCCATATAATACAGGCGTTCTCGAAAGATGATTGAGCTTTGTACATTTCAACAAAGCCGTCAGAAAGGTGCCCCATAATCATTGGGAGCAGATGCGGACGCAGGAAGGTTTTAAAGTAATCCAGATTGTCTCCGGCCAGACGACAAAGAAAAATCTGACCATAAAGAGTAACAAAGCGAACAGTTCAAAATGGTAATTTGTTTCGGTCAAAAACTGCACGACTGATATAGCGAGAACATGGTGGCTAGTCTCACCTTCTGATTCTGCGTAATAACTTTCGCTTGTGAGAAGTGGGGGGGAGGGGGTTAAAGCCTGAATATGCCCTTTCTTTAAAAAGACCTACATAGCTTCCTATAAACCGGGTAAAAGCTTCATGTACCCCTTTAAAGAATATAATTAAATTCGTACAGTCATCGAAACTCACACGGCTTAGGTTGTCTTCATGAAAGTTGTTCACGTTGATAGCCGGACAATCCAAAAGCCAGCTTCCTAACTGATTTCATTAAAATGGGGTTATGCCGAAAGCAGTACAACTTCCGGTAAGA